TATGGTTCTGAAATTCAGGTGGGATAGACTCAAAGTCATATTTTGGTTCCCGTGGACTTGGTTTAATTTTCCTCAGCTTCAGCTTGAACTTGCTTATGAGTAGTAGGTGGTCTGTTCCACAATCAGCTCCTGGCCTAGTTTTCACAGCTGATATTGAGCTTCTCCAGCGTTTTCTTTCCACAGATGTAATCTATCTGATTCCTATACATACCTTCAGGTGAAATCCACGTATATAACCTGTGTTTATGTCTCTTAAAAATGTATTTGCAATGAATAAGTCATTGTGCAAAATTCGATCATTCTCTCTCCAGCTCCATTTCTGTCACCAAGTCCATGTTTTCCAACTACTGAATCTTCTTCTGTTCCCAACTTCTGCATTTCAGTCACCATTATCAGTGCATCTTGATTGCATGTTCGATCGATCTCTGACTGTAAAAGTTGGTAAAAATCTTCTATTTCCTCTTCCTTGGCTGTGGTTGTTGGTGCATATATCTGAATGATAGTGGTATTCACTGGCCTTCCTTGTATGCGTATGGATATTATCCTGTCACTCACAATATTGTACTTCAAGATGGATCTAGCAATGCTAGGCGCCATCGAAGTGTCTCCAACTCATAATGCAAGAGCTCAAAGCCCTGCCCATTCTACACGAACCTCACAATCTACGCTGTGTTCAAACTCACCCTCGTGGCCACTGTGTCTATTCTCTAGAGGGTTGTCTTCTCCTTATCCAGCTATTTTTCCAAGCATGATAATCTTTTCCAAAGACTGCCTCCCCACACCCCAATAACATACCCAACGTATGAGAAAAAAATCTCACCATGCTTCTAAGAACACTCTGGCTGTACTTCCAGGAAGTTGTTTGGTTTTTTTGGGGTTTTTTTGGCTAAGTGTGGTATATTCAATATTCTTCGCCACCACAATTCCAAGGCATTGATTCTGTGGTCATAACTTACATTCAACTTCCCTATGCATATGCAACTGAAGCTCACCTGAGTCAAGATAACACTGGCAGCAAATCCTCCCAATATGCCAACTGCCATATCCATGTGTACTGATTGTGGAAAAAGTAAAATGAAATCACCAACACCTTTGGTCCATCAGGATCTTCCTTACTGGTCCAATTATGAAGATTTTCATTTTATGCTGAAATATTAATCCAGACTAAAGACTGTACAGTCTTTTTCTTTTTTCAAAAAGTGCTTCAAGTCCTCTAACTTCCAGCAAAGTTGTATCATCTGCAGACGAAGGCATTTGAGTTTTCCTTCAGTCCTCATACTACGTTCTTCTTCACAAGTCCCAGCTTTTCAGATTACTTGCTCAGCATATACACTGAAAAAGTATGGTGAAAAAATACAATGCTGACACATTTTGTCCTGATTTTAAACTGTCATGTCCCCTGAGAACTCTAGTGGCAAGGAGTTCAGCTACCAAACCAAATGCAAGAGGTTTAGATGCACCATTGATTGGTTCTGTGGAAGATGGTGGAAGACGTTCTCCTTCCATTCAATTCACAACCCCCATATGTGCCAAAGGTCAACTAGGAGTTGATTCCAACTTGATGGCAAAGAACAAAGAGTATCCATTTACTTTGTTCCAACAATTGACTGCTGCTTGTTTTTTCTACAAGTTCCACATGTAACTACATGACATCAAGTTGCTTGCAACTCGTAGCAACCCTACGTACAACAGTTCTGAACCCAGCTCTATCCTGAGCCAACTTCATTTGTCTCTGACACACCTACCCCATTACCCAGTCACTAAGTCAATCCATCTAATCAAGAGTCTTCCTCTCTAGTTCTGTCCCTATTTGCTCCCAAGCAGAATGTCCCTCTCCAAGGACTGGTCCCTCCTGGCAACATGCCCAGAGTATGTCAGACAGAGTTTCAGAATCCTTGCCTCCAAGCAGCAGCGTGGTTTCACGCTTTCCAGGACAAACCTGTTTGTTCTCTTGTCTGTCCATGATATATTCAATACTCCTCGCCAGCACAACTCAAAGGCAACAAGTTCCGTATGTACACAAATAAATGAGGAATTTCCATTGTTCTGTTGTCCATAATTCAGTATAACCCATACAGCCAATAAAACGCAAGCAGACGTCTTATATTGTTTTCAGCCAAGATTCATCTGATCTCCCCAATGACAACACTTGTTCCACAAAAGCCTCTTCTGAATCCCGCTTGAATTTTTTTTTACATTTCTCTGCTCCAGCCATCTTTAACTAAATTCAGCAATATATGTGTATAATACTAAGGTATTCTTCAATATTTTCTATTTTATTGGAATGGCACATACACGGATCTCTTCTGGTTTGCCAAGCAGCCATTTTCTTGGCATGGATAAGTGAGCATGTGCAGGGCTCTGTTTGTTCAAATACCTCACTTAACGTTCCTGGAGCCCTGTTTTTCGGCGATGCCTTCAATATAGCTCAGACTTCTTCCTTCAGTACCATTAGCTCTTGATCATCTGCTACTTCTTCAAATGATAGAGTGTGAAACAAAATTCTTTTTGGTACAGTGACTCTGGGTATCTATTTCATCTTTTTTTGATGTTTCCTGTGCCACAGAATCATTTACCCACAGAATTTCAACTCAAAGTTTTAATTCTCTCTTCAGTTGTTGTGTTTTGATGTTATTTCTCCTGGTAATTTCAAGAAATACCTGAGGCCCATGTGCTTTTCCATCAATTCCTGGAGCCAACCCTAAGTCTTCACACATTTTAAAACATGACTTTGTCATCTTGAGCTGACCTTTGATATCTTCTGTTCAGCTGTCTTATATCATCATTTTTTCCTTTTGCTTTATCTTCTCTCCTAAAGCAAGTTTTGCAGCCTTTTCATCTATTTTAATAACTTTTCCCTATGTTTATATATGAGGTTCTTGATGTCATCTCCTGATCTTTGTTAGTGTTCATTGTATCAAATAATTTTTGAGATGGTTTTAATTTGATGTTGCTGTTGTTGTAAGGTGTCCAGTCAACTAACAACCCACAGCAACCCCATGGATGCAGATGAAAACCTTGCCCCATCCTGGAAACCTCACAATCTCCACCATGCTTAAGTTCATCAGTCTCTTTAAGAGTCTTCCTTTCTCAGACCCTCAACTTTTCCCAGAAATACAGCTTTTCCCAAGGACTGGCTTCTTTCGACAATATGCCCAAAGTATAAATCATATGAAATATGTTGGTAAACCAGAGATGTTGGACTTTACCTCAGGAAGGGAATAAGTCTGATGTGAGATTCAAGGGAAAGCAGAGACTTCTGCCAGTGTCACTTAACATATTTCAAAGCAGCTGTCTTGGAAAGACTAATGAAAATATAATCCTGTAAACTGGCTCTTACTTATGTGTTCTACTAATCCAGTGAGAAACCCATTACCAAAGAGAATTTATAGAAAAACTTATGAGGCCAAGAAAGAAACCCCTCACAAAATAAAGGCATTATTATATTCTTCACTGGCAAGTACTGAACACTTACTTTAGTGGTAGGCAATAAACAGAAAGAAAAAGTAGTAAGCCATTTTCTAACCTCTCTACTCAGCAGGTTTTCAGAGGCGGTAAATCCCATAAAAAGAAACTGCCCATCTTTCTCAATTCCAACTGCCTGCCGTGGTGTTGGCAATGCAGCTTCTTACCCACAGGTCCCTTATCAAGTCTAGAGGAAGATATAATCTGCGTGTTTCCACAATTTATGGTCCTAAATTTCAGCTAGGTTTTAATGGCGATCTAATAGTTTAATCTCATAAAAATAAGTTGAACAATATTAGTTGTAGCCAGAAACCTATCATGTTACTGAAATAAGAACCTGTCTAATGGAGAGAAAATTCAGTTGAAGCACTGTAGGCATTGATCCATTGGCAAACTGGTAAAAACGAGCTTTCATGAAAACAGTGTTGTAATCCTATTTCCACCATATTTCAAGTTAATAAACTTAAGGCACTCTGTATAAAAGAACAAATGACAACATACTTTGCACACCATTATCTTAGTTTATTTATCAAGTAGAAAAAGCTATCAAGTAATTTCTTATTTTATTCTACATTATATACAGATCATAAAAGGCCACAGCAGTTTTTCAACATATAAACCCTTTAAAAGTAGAGGGCATTATGAAGGATTGACAAGTATCAAAATGAAGTCCAGTAATGAGGGCATATACTCAGTGCATTATTTCTAAGGAATAACAAAGCAGATACCAAGTAGTTCATTATTTACCATATTCCATTCCATAGGTTTTCATAAACTTGGGATTTGGTAACAGCCTAAGCCATGATGCCATGTATTTTAAAAAAGGGGAGCGGAATCATGAACTTTGGAGGGTCCTCTTTCCTAATTTTAATCATTTAAGCTCTCCCAGAAAGAAAGCCTCAATTATTCACCACTTTCCAGTTCCACCTGCCATGAAGGACTGGAAAGAATAGAAATAAAATCTCAATATTCTAAAATCTTGTGTACTATGAGTTTTCCTTTTCTGTGGGGTCTCTTTCAAATTACTTCTGAAATAAATTCTTTTCTAAATCTGCAGAGTTACCTTCTCTCTACAGTAACTCAAAAACATTGGTTTCTGCTCTGAGAAAATACAATCTTTAAACTTACAACTGGTATCAGCAGATCAATATAAAAAAATACAGTACCAAGCTACACTGGTATATTTCCGTATTAAGAACTTCAAAATATACTTATCACTGAGACCATATAGTCCTTGCATTAGTTTTCAGTCCACTATGAACAATTACCTGCTGCATGTAAACATGTCTAAATAATTATAGATAAAATACAATCATAAATTTCTGTAAAAGATAATAATAAAATATCTTCTTTAAAAAACAAAACAATAATAAGCTATTACTGCATTGTTTCCAATTTTATGAAAATGGAACAACCACAGAGTTGTTGCCAGTCCTGAGTTCATAGTAACAAAAATGGCCCTAGTTCCTGGTTAAAGTCAGCAATCAATCCCCTCTTCAATAGATGTCTTCTAGTATTGCAGGCAAAAGTTTGTTTTAGGTGCTATTTTGTCCATTAATAAAATTATATACCAGAAACTGACCAGTGCCACAGTACTGAGTTGCGAACAGTTTGCCATCAGGAGTAGGATCTGAGAAAGCAATTTCTTCTTTACTCAAATATGAGCCATATATAAAGTTACTCCTATTAAAAGAGAGAAAAATGCAGATGCAAAATTACTAATTATTAAAATGGCAAATCTATCACAGAGAATTTAACTGAAGGTTTCTTCGATAAGAATTCTACATATTCTAATTTTTTTTTCTTTCTTTTTATGTGTGTACCGTCAAATCGGATCTGACTGGTACAGAAGGCAATTGTTCCTCCTTCAGCAGAGCGTCTGGTGGATTTGAAGCAGGTACCTCTCCTAAATTTTTTTAAATATTCATCTACAATCTTAATTTTAGATATTTTTCAAATTTTAAAAATGCTGAAAAATTAAGAATAGAATTTCCTTTACCTAATAAAGAGCTTCAACTAATCTTAACATTAATGGTCAAAGACAAAATATGTTTCTCCACAATGAGGAGAAAAACAAAGCTGTCTGCTCTCATCGTGTCTATTCAACACTGTACTAAAGGTCCTTGCCATGGCAATTAGACAAGGAAAAGAAGGAATTCACTACCTAACTTGGAAAAGAAGAAGCAAAACTATCCTTAAAAATGGCATCTTACATATGAAAGGATAAAGGGAGTTCTCTGTCAGAACTATAATAAGTACTGTAAGGCTGCAGAACACAAAATCAATATTCCAAAGTTAACTATTTCTATTACAAGAAATAATCCAAACAAAGAATTAAGTGGCAATTAAAATTAATTATAATAGCATCAAAAAGAAAAAGTACTTCAGAATATATTTAGCAAAGTACAAAATATATACACTGAAAACTACAAAAGAATGCTGAAAGAAAAGGCCTAAATAAAGAGACATTCCAGATTTACAGAAGAATTAACAATGTTAAGATATGTGATAAATAACAAGTTGATTTTATAATTCATATCTGGACATAAGGGTTGCTAACTAATAGCCAAAAGTATCTTGAGGGGAAGAACACAAAGTTAAGAGAACTCACACTTTCTGACATCAAAACAAAGCTATAAAATTCAAGACAGTGAAACAGTAGCATTAAAGAAAGGCAGCTATCTACCTGAAAGGAATGGATGATTAGACATTTCATGTGATTAATTAACAATCTGGAACAAGATCAGCATTACTAAGTTAACTGCAGGAGACAGAGGGAAGAAAACTGTATACTGATGAATAAAATCCATCCTCTGTAAACTTTCACTAAAATCATAATAAAAAATAATCACTACAAAAAATAAAAAGAGATAGGCAGCTAGACCAATGATATAAAATGATAGGCTAGGTATAAAACTCTCAAGGCTGTGGTCAATTGGGTTTTTTAATCAAAGTACAAAAGATAACTCAATGTGAATAATGCACTTTCAACAAAGAGTGCTCAAACTAGAGAAACCCATGCCAAAACCTAATGTTGAATCTCTTCCTTAACACCATATATAAAAATGAACACAAAATGGATCAAAGTTCTAATTTTGAGAACTAAAATTGACTCTTAGATGAAAACATAGGCATTTATTTTCATGACCTTGGATTAAGCAAAGATTTTAAATAAGACATCAAAAGTGTAAGAAAGAAACTAAAAATTAGCTTTCATTAAAATTTAAAATGTTCATTTCCCTGAAGGGTAGTATCAAGGAGGTGAAAACACAACCTGAAGAAGGAAGAGTAAAAGTGCAACAATGAATGATTGGAAAGTCAAAATCTCTGTAAATTTTCATTCAAATTGCTACTACTACTACTACTACTACTACTACTACTACTACTACTACTACTACTAAAAAGAGTGTATTTTTAAAAAGAAACACCTCAGTCTTTAAATTGACATCAATGCTCTTCAGTATTTTAAAAAAGGGAGAGTAAATTATAGGAAAAATGCAAATCCTACATCTGATAAGAATCTTGTCTCCAGAATGTAGACAGCGCTGGAGCACTGGTGGCCTAATGGGGATCTGTGCGGCAAACCCACAGGTGGCGCCTCTGGCACTGGGAACTGAGAGAGATGGGCCATCTCCTCCTGTGTGATTTTAGAGCTCTGAAAACTGGCTTGAGGGTCAGCTATGAGGTGGTTTCAACTTGTCCTCAATGATGGAGTACAGCTAAATAAAGATAAATAATTTAAATAAAAATGAGTAAGATATCTGAACAGAAGTCTTTAAAGATGTACAAAGAGCCAAATATGCATATGAAAAGATGCTCAAAATCATTAGTCATTGTTGTTGTTGAGTACCATCAAATCAGAAATTACCCACAGGTGACCCTCCGGTGGGTTTTCAGAGGCTGTTAATCACACAGGAGATTGTCCATCCTTCTCCTGCAAAGAAACAAGTGTATTCAAACTGCATGGCTTTGGGACTACAGTGCAGTTTCTTAAGACTAGGCCACCAGAAGCACCCCATTAATTATTACGGAACTGCAAATCAAAATGACAATCAGTACTTCAAACCCACTCAACTCAGTCACTGCCACTGAGTTGGAATCAACTCATAGCTGACTGTCCAACAGGTTTTCAGAGGCTGTATGTAAAATTGCACGTATGTAAAGGAGGAGGAGTGGCATCCACTTCCATAACAGCTTGCCTCCGGAAACCCTATGAACCTGGAGAGAGGATGAAAGGCACCCAAGCGTCAAGGACTCTCCTTCATAGGGTCGCTATGAGTCGCCTGCGACTCAACGGCACTTAACAACAACAACATGTAAAGATTGCTCATCTCTCTCCTAAGGAGCCACTGATTTCAAACCATGCGCCTTTGGGCTAGCAGTGCAACTCTCTCCTGACTAGGCCACCAGCCAATTCCCTTCACATCCACTCTGCTAAAATAAGAGAGACCATAACAAGAGTTGGTGATAACCAAGAGAAATTGGAATCTTCATACACCTCTGCCAGGAATGTGAAAAGCTGCAGGTGGTTTGGGAAAACTGGTTAGTACTCCCTCAAAAGAGTATTACACAGATTTGACTACCGTATGATCAACAAATGTCAGTCTCTGGTATGTACTCAAGAGAAAAGAAAGCGTGGACAGTGTAGATACAAAAACATAAGAAAAAATGGTGGGAAACACATAAACATCCATCACCTGATGAAAATATTACAATGTGTAGAATATTATTTGGTAATAAAAAGAGATGAGGCAATGATACACAGATAATTCTTGAATAGAGAAATCCACTGAGGCAGAATGTAGATTTTACTGGTTGCCAGAGAGAGAGAGTAAAAAGGTCAATGGTAATGGGGTATTGGGTTTCTTTTTAGGGTCAGGGAAATGCTTTTAAAATTTCATAGTGGTTAATAGTTACACAGCCTTGTAACACATACTGAAACTCACTAAATGATAAAGTACTATAAAAGGCATCTTTAAGGCATGGGAATTATATCACAACATGCTGTTAGGTGCGATCAAGTTGATTCCAGCTCACAGGGCTGTTAAGAATGAAACCTTGTCCAATCCTGTGACATCCTCATTATCTGTGCTGTGGACCTAAAAACTTCTTTGGACTATCAATGTTAAGGTCTTTCCTGAACCCTCTGACAGAACTGTATCCTAATATTCAACTCGCCATCCTCAAGTCAGAACTGACTCCTATGTGACCTTCCAGCAGGTTGTCAGAGACTGCAAATCACAGAGAACAGATTGCCCGGCTTCCTCTCAAGGAGCCAGTAGATTCCAACCATCTTCATGCCCCTTGCCAGTGTAATTCTCTACTCAATAGGTCACCAGAACTCACAATATTTCAATATACTCTAATTTTTGTTAGGTCCCAATGCCATCAAGTCAAGCACAACTCACAGCAACCCTATGAACAACAGACCTGAAGCTTGTCCCATCCAGTGCCATTTGCATCATCTCTGACAGACTTAAGCACACTGCTGCAGTCACCCAATCTATCTCATTTGGGGGTCTTCTTCTCTTTCTCCACTTTTCCAAGCACGATGTCCCTTTCCAAGGAACAGCCTCTCCTAGAATAATGCCCAAAGCATTGAGAGAGAAGCTTCCCCATCTTTGTATCCAAGGAATACTCTGGCTACACTTTGTCTAAGACATATCTGTTTATTCTTTAGGCAGCCCATAAGATATTCAGTACTCTTCTCTAACACCACAACTTAAAGGCATCAATTATTCTATCATCATTATTTAATGTCCAACTATCAGATGCATAGCAAGAGACTGAAAAGTCCATGGCCTAAATCAGGCACTTTACCCTTCAAAATGTCATCACTACTCTTCAGTATTTTGGAGAGACCCCTGACAGCACACTTGCCCAATGCAATAGGTCTTCTGATCTCCTGAGTGCTGGTAGCAAGGGTGCTGACTGTTGCTCAAAGCAAGATGAAATCACTGAAACAACTTCAATCCTTTCTGTATTTATCATGATGTTGCCTATTGGTCCAGTAGTGATGACTTTTGTTTTCTTGATGTTGAGATGTAATCCATATTGAAGGCTCTAGTCCTTGATCTTCTGCAGCAAGCGTTTCAAGTCCTCCTTACTTTCAGCACGTAAAGTTGTTATCATCTGCATAACGCAGGCTGTTGATAAGCCTTCCTCTGACCAGGATGCTATATTCCTCCTCACAGAATTTAGCTTCACAAATTATTTGCTCAGCATACATTTTTAGTAAGTATAGAGAATAGATACATCCATGACCACACTCTTCCTGATTTTAAACCAGGCAGTGTTCCCTTGCTCTGTCCAAACAACAGCTTCTTGGTCTAGGTATATATTTTGTTTGAGTACAATTAAGTCTTCTAAGATTCCTATTCTTCTAAATGTTAGTTATAGTTTGTTATGATCCACAGAATCAAATGCCTTTATATAATCAATAAACACAGAGAGACCGTCTTCTGATATTCTTTGCTTTCATCCAAGACCCATCTCAAATCAGCAACATCTCTGGTGCCATGACCTCCTCTAAACCCAGTCTGAACTTCTGGCAGTTTCCTATCAATATACTTGTTCTAGCCATTTTTTTGGAGGATCTTCAGCAATATTTTACTCATGTGCAAGTTTAAATTGAAGCTAAAGAAAATTAAAAAGTCTACAAGAGCCAAAATACAACACTGAGTCTATCCCACTGAATTTAAAAATCATCTCAAGAACACATCTGAGGCACTTGAACACCAATGATAGAAGACCAAAGGAGCTGTAGTCTGACATTAAGGGCATCATGCATGAAAAGAACAAAAGGTTATTACAAAGACAGAGAAGAAAGAAAAGCCAAAATGGATGTCAGAAGAGACTACACAACTTGCACTAAAACACTGAGAAGCCAAGACAAAGGGAAGAGACGCTGAAGTAAAAGAGCGAAATAAAAGATTTTCTAGAACAACTTTAGGAGATAAAGCAAAACGTTTTAACAAAATATCTGTGCAAAGAGCTGGAAGTGGAGAATATAAAAGAACTTGCCTGGCATTTCTCAAGCTGAACAAACTAAAAAACAAATTAAAGCATGCAGCTGCAATACTGAAAGATGCTACAGGCAAAATCTCAAATGATCCAGGAAGCTTCAAAAGAAGAAAGGAATACAGAGTCACTGTACCAAAAAGAATCGATCAACATTGAAAAATTCCAGGAAGTATAGTATGAACAAGAACTAATGGTAATAAAGGAAGAGCGTCAAGCTATGTTGAAGACAAAGCAAAAAGCAGATCCCAGGAATCAATGGGTTACCAACTGACATGTTTTAACTAACAGATGCAACCCTGGTACAATTCCTCCCAGGCCCCAGTCCACTCCACCATGCAGCTCTCGTTCTGGACTCTTGTCATGAAAATAATACCTAATCATATATTCCTGTCAAATAGTTCTCTCCCTCATCTGTTTCAATACAGTACACATTGTTTATTCCCTCTTTTCTTAGTTTCATCCCCAACCCCGATGTCAGTTCTGCTTGGATAAACAATCAAGTGGTAAAAGAAGAAAATGAGACCTCCATGATTTACAAGCAATATTCTAAGTTAATATATCACTAAAATGTGAACTCCTATTTCTTTTGCTGTTTTCTAATTCTCCAGTATCTAGCACATTTTTAAGATTATTTTAAATAATTTGCCTTCTTCTTGTGGCCTAATATAATAATAAGGTTACATCTGGGCCTAATATCATAATAAGGTAACAAGGTAGTCAAGTGCAGCATTTTTTTCATCCTCAAAATACGTACAGATCTAATACACAGAAAATCATATGCAAAATAGAGTTAACAGAAATAAAAACTATACACTTAAGATTAATTAAGTGTAAGCCAATCTTTTCTAAAACTTTTATTAAATCCTAATAGCACTGAAGATAATTTCTAGAATTACATTAAAATTACCTCAAACATTCAATCATGCGGGAAGCAATTTTCTTCCGACGCATCATGCTGAACACCCAAATCCGACTGATGCCACAGATAGCGGGCTCTGGCAGCGTTGAACAGCACCAGGCTTTTTGCCTTTCAAATCGAAGTTTTTCTTCTTCTGTTTCAATAACGGGGAGTTTCTCTTCTATAACTCTATAGCCCTATAAATGTCAAAATTGGGGAAAATTTTGTCAATAAGAATGTTAAGTAACAATTTGACTTAGAGAGGTCACCATAATTGTGAGGCTTCTTAACAAACTATAGGACCCACATATTCTTTCACTCTGGTTTTTTAGGAAATAAACTAACCTGGAACAACAATCTGTTGTAATTCACTTAGAAATTATATGACATAAGAAGTTACTTCATTTTCTTTACACTGTGGGTTCCCTTTTGATTTGCGGATACCACCTCTCTTAATACAGCTTTTGAGATTTTTTTTTTATTAAATATCTATCTTTATGAAAATCATTACTCATATTATTTTCCCTACCAGTGCTTACAGTATAATTATATCTTTCCAAATTTCCCCCTCTGATATGATGTATCAAAGCTTATCTAAGTACTTTCTCCTGTTATATGCATGTTTTGTATTTTATTAGGCAATTACATTTTGCTAATTGCATTCAAAGGAACTCAGGTGGGCTAGTAGGTAAGAAGTTGCACTGCCAACCCGAGGGCAGGGAGTGTGAATCCTCTAATTGTTGTGTGAGCTGTTGCGATCTTAGGTAAATATTCAAAGCACCTTGCCATCTTGCCTGGCCTGTAACAGGAACTGAGAATTAATTTTCTCTACTTCCAGTAGTCTAAGAACCAGCAAAGAACTCAGCAGCAAGAACAATAAATATTTCTGGGACTGCAACCACACTTCCAGTGTTCACAACTGTGTGAGGATGGCAGCAGATGGCAAGAATTTAGAAACACCTTTCCTCCATGTCAAATTTTTAAAAAAAAACAATATTTTAAAAAAATAACTATTAGATATCATCTCACCCTAAAACAGTAGGAAAGATCAATAGCGCAGCAAACAACAAATGCTGGCAAGGTTGCAGAGACTGAACTCTTATTCACTGCTGGTGGGAGCATAAAATGTTGCAACCACTATGGTCTGGTGCAGTCTCAAAAAGTTGGAAATTGAAATATCATTTGAATATACCCTAAAGAAACCAAAGATGCCACCCAAACAGATTCACAAGAGCAAACAAATGGAAGCAACCCAAGCGCCCATTAACAAATTAACAGATAGAAAAACTATGGTATATTCACACAATGGAATACTATGCAGCACTGAAAAACAAGGAACTCATAAAATATTATACAACATGGGTGACCTTAGAGGACACTATGCTGAGTGAAATATCACTGTCATAAAAGGACAAATACTGCATAAAGTCCCTTTTATAAAACAAGACTGGCATGGGGACTGGGGAGGAAAGTAAGAAGAGGGGATAAATAATTAGCACTGCATTGGAACAGATGAAGGAAGGAACTGTTTAAAAGGACTATATGATGCGGAATTATCTGTATGACAACAATTGGGAATAAAAGGTGCATAGTAAAGTGGACAGGGGGCAAAGGGAAGAAATTATGAACAATGAAAAATGTGCAACAATAAATAAATGAAAATCCAACCTTTCTGTAAACTTTCATTAAAATCACAATAAAAAAGGAGGTGGAAGTATTTTTAAAAACATGTATCTCTGTTGTCAGTGTAGTTGCCCAAATGACATTTCCTGCGACTGACAAAAACTTAAAAAGCAATTAAACAACACAATTCAAAATTATGAAACCAACATTATATTAGCTATCTTAACATAAAAATTACTGACTGGAAACTGCTAAGGAAAACCAATTTGCTGTGCAAACTTTCACTCAAATCAACAATAAAAAGCTTTTATTATAAACATTGCAACAAGTAATTCTAGAACTCAGTGGGAAAGAATTTTTAAAACACTAGTTTTGGCGAGCTCTGGCGGCCTAGTGGCAAGAAGCTGCACTGCAATCCCAGAGGTGAGCAGTTCAAATGCACCAGATGCTCTGCTGGAGGAGGGACAACCACCCCCTGTACCAGTCAGATCCAATTTGATGGTACACACACACACACACACACACACACACACACACACGAAAACAAGCAAAAAAAACACCAATAACAAAAACCAAAAACAAACCCACCAACACTAGCTATATTGTTTTATTGATATGATCCCTATACAAAAATCAACTTTTCATATAGTACACTCAAAGAACAGGTGATCTTTTCCAACTGGTCAGCAAACTTCCCAAGAGGATCAGACAATAATGACTTTAGATTCTGAAACCCACTTGGCCTTTTCCACAAGAATTCAGCTATTCAATTCTACTTCATAGAAAGAAAGCAACCATAGACAATATGTAAACAAATGAGCGTGGCCATAGTAAAATAAAACTTTACAAATAGGCTGAGTTATACTTTGGGCTGTGGTTTGCTTCCAGTTCTGGAAGTAGATGTTACACTAGACATTTCCTAAACAAAATTTAACAGTATTTTTGACTCTTTAAGGAGCCCTGAATCACAGTAGTTAAAGAATTCGACTGGTGAGAATCTCACCAATAGCAAAAGAACAGCAGAGTCCAGAGTCTGCTACGTGCGCCCTTCTGGGCTAGAGATTCTCACGCTAGCCAGACTAACAGGAGAACAGCAGCAACCTCAACAGAGAACCCAAAATCCAATGAAAGACAGAGCTGACCTGGGCCTGCTACCCTACAGAACTAGAATCAGGTTCTCTGCCCAAGCTCACTGGAGAACTTAGGTGGAGGGATAGGCAGACTGAGAAAGCTTTGTAAAACTAGCCGTCAGCAGGCAAAGCTGAAGGCTAAAAGGCCTGTGAGCACACGTCAGAAGCTGTCCAGAGAAATTTTTTTTCCTGTTAACTTCCTTAATAAACCCTATTATGGGGGGTGGAGGGAGAAGTAGTAATAAACAATTTGCCTGGTAACTAAAAGGTTGGTGATTCAAACCCACTAGCCAGTCCACAGGAGAAAGATATGGCAGTGTGCTTCCATGAAGATTAACAGCCTTGAAAATTCCACAAAGCAGTTCTAGTTGATCCTGAATAGGGTCACTATGAGTGAGAACCTACTTGACAGCAATAGATTTGTTTCCCATGTAATATACTACCCTACTGTGTCAAAAGAGTACCACACTGAAATTCTTGCATTCATAGTCTTTCTTATATAAAATGTACATAAATTTATCAGGATTACATTATTCAAGATTACAAAGCCAACACCAAACTCCTTATGAACATTCTGAAAAATCACTTACCCATTGGATATGTTCTGCAATTAGGCAGCCGACAACTTTTTTGTCATTAGAAATAAAGAGAAGTGTTTTCGTTCTGGAGTAGCACATTAGTGGAGCCTGCTGAAAACCTAAATCATTATCAACCATCTCTCTAATCTCATCAACCTGCCAAATAAAGAGTAATATTTTAATATTAAAAGCATTCTGTGAGTGTGCATGTATTACATATATTCATTACTTAAGCTGAGTAAGCTGAATGCATCATGACACACAGGATAGCCACTAAAAGTTATACCATGACTAATAATTCTGTTTTGTTTTTAAACACCGTGGACACTTTAAAATGCAAGAACTGGAAGTGATGCCAAGCCCAGGTTGTAATTTACTGTTGTCTAGGGAACAATAGGTCAACGTGCCTATTAACAGGTAATGAAGACCATCCATTAAAAAAATAACATGGTTTTATGACTGGAGAGAATGTCACTGAGGAGTCTTGGCTGGGAAAAACAAGCCACTTTTATCCCTTAAACTTTGACTGTTATTCTCATAAGAAAGACATGTATTTCACAGAGAAACTCATGTTTACGCTTTATCAGCTATCTATGCCCTAACAACTTCATGGGAAAAGCTAAGCAGTTTCCTCTCCAATGAACAGCCGCCCTGGGATCTGAGCGAAGGGGTCACTGGGAGGAAGGACTGACTGGACAACAGGGAGTTTTTGTGTTGTGAGCCAGGCATATGCAAATCACTTTGTAAATAGTATTTCACTTGAATCCACCATCTGTTAAAGGTTTATGGCTTTTATATACAGAAGAAATGAAACTGAAATATTACTTCCCCAGATCTAGCATCAGATACCTAAAAAGCCAAAGAACCAGGATTTAACCCAAAATGTCAAATGGCATCAAAGTACTTCTTTTATTTCTAACCTCCTAGACTTCAGATAAAGTCAAATACACATAGTTCCGACCTTCGCAAGCACTTAAAAGTCAAGAACTCTTAAAAGTCAAGAACTCTATACACACTTATTTAAGTCTATTCTTAGTTAAAAACAAAGTCAAATATGCAGCCCCAATAAACATTTATTTGTGAGATGAAGTTTAAAGCTAAAAATAACTCCATATAGTGTTAAGTACTCTGATCTCCAGCAGGCAGAAAACCACACAGCTTATTACATACTTATATTCTTACAGTTTTTACTGAACTCTCCCCAGTTTGGGCTCTATGCCACAGAATAGTTTCCAATTCAGTTTGGACAGGCTGAATAACTCTCCCATTTTTTAATTTCTAACTATGATTACTACAATAAACTTCCTGAATCCTCAAATTACAAAACACTAAATTGGACTAAGATTTAATTCACACTAAGTAAGAGGATTTTTTTCTAAGTTTCTTATATTTTATAAGGCACTGGGGTAGCATAGTCTGTAGAGTGTGGTGCTGTTAATGCGAAAATGGCGCTTGTTTGGCAGTTCAAATCCCAGCAGCACTGAAGGAGAAAGATGAACAATCTCCTCTTGTGTAAATTACACACTAAAGGATCAGCTATGAGCTGGATCCTCCTTTTACAGTAATGGGTGTGTGATATTATATTTATGAATTAGAGTAGATCTCTTTTCTTTTTCTTCTCATTATTATCTCGTGTTTAATTTCCAGGTTTTTGTGGTCTACTAGATTTTTTTCTGCAACAGCTTTTATTTAGAAATTTAGTCTTAGAATGAATCTTTATATTTTATTAAATTGAATATTCACAATTATTATGATTCAACTTTTAATTCTAATTATCAAAATCAATTACTTGACATTATTCATTTTTTAATGTTCTGTTCCAACACTAAAATTACTGGTAATACTGGTAATCTAAAATTCTGTTCATGTATGCTAGACTCACACTACAAAGTTTATACTGTTTTTCAACTGTCTTTATTCTTAAATGCTTCCTTTTTGTTTTTAAAATGAATGTTGAAATGTGCTATGGCAGCCTTAAGGTGCTCTGGTTGAGTAGTATAGCATGTTATGATGCTTATCAAAAGGTTGGCAATTTAAAACCACCAGCCTGTCTACTTACTCCTTGAGGGAAAGATGGGCAATCTCCTCTCATTAAGATCTACAGCCTTAGAAACCCAACAGAGGTTTGCCAGGAGTCAGAAGTGGATTGAAAGAATTGGGTAGGTTCTGCCAGCACAGCTAAATTATTTTCTCTCTCTCTCTTTCACTCACACACACACTTATGAGGGGGAAGGACACAAGACTTTTACTTGCACTAACCTATCAGTTTAGGTAACTCAGTTTAGCCTGTGCTAAACTCTTATAAATTCCATTCATTCCATATGAAATCTCTTTGGAAATTTACCTTTTTCAGGGCATACTTGGGGTCTTCTGGAAGAACCATTATTATCCTGCCATCAGGGTATTCAGCCAAAATTCTTTCTTTTTTCCAGCCCTAGATTTTTAAACAGTGAATTGTTATGTATCACATTTTTTATAATAATCATTAACAAGTATATAAATTTGTCTAAAAATTTCAAACATGAAAACATATTCTTTAATATTTAACAGAACATAATGAAGCAGCTATTTTTCATAAGTGAAACAAAAAAAGCAAATTTCCTCTCTACTATTCATTCAGAGACATATCTACTACCACAAGCGTATTTGTAATTATCACTCAATTTTTAAAAGTCATACATCAAAAGTAAGCCCCTTATTGTCAGTGACTCCCAGAACCTAAAGGTTTAACTCTCCCAGATTCTTATTAAAAGAATGAAACTCTTAAAACTTTTTGGAACATGGTTACCTCCTCCACAAGCACACACTCATGTTTTTATGCCTGGCATGCCAAAGACCTCCAGGAGGTTTAAAATGAACTGATTTGCATGCAGTAGCCCAGAATGTAAGGAAAGTTTTATTCTTATTGATCACAACTATCAAAGTCACAAGAAGGAGACTATAAAAAAAAATATAACTACCTTCTAAGAATCTAATAGGGAAGGAGAGGCTACGTTGTGTGTATCTGAAGTTTAACATACTCAAAAAAAGAGAGGTAATAAACGCTTCTTCAGATCCACACTCGTGGTGATTAATGAGCAGAACCTGCATGAAAAAAAAAAACAAAACAAAAGCCACTTAAATCTAGTAAGATGGGACTGAACCAGAGGTTAAAAACTAGGAGCTTTTGAAGTTCAAAATAAGCACAGAAGGAATGAGCTTAACTGGTTGTTCCATTTGTTTTACCCAAGTATTTTTAATATTAAAAAGGTCTTTTCAAAAAGCAATAAATACACACTCCTATTAGAAATCATTATCTTCTTTCCAAAATCTATTTCTTCTAAGAGTACATAAGCTCAAAGGCAAGAAAAAGACAACAACATTTCAAAAAAGCTACGGCAAGTTTGATAGGAGGTGCTGGTTTAGGGAGCTGTGTATTCGCATGTGCAAGCATTCCTGAACTGTCTTAAAGTCTTTCAATCTTCACCCAGAGATCATCGTAAAAATTTCTTAGAAAAACTTATATTATCTCTATGGGATGCAATGTATTAGAGAGAGTGCTCTTAAACAACCCAAAATGGATGTTTGTGCATGGGAGTTTGGTTGTGGGAGACAGGGAAATCTTATCTGGGGTTAAAAAATTCCAGAATGAGCCTGACATGTAATAATTTAGATTCAAATACATAATAATCAAGAATTCAGTTACAAAATGGATTACCTCAGGAAAAAGCAAAATTACGGTCGTTACCATTAATAAGGATTAGTAAATTGCTCTCAAGAGTTTAAAGGAATAAAGGAGCAAAAATGAAAGTCACTTGTTTCAAATCACTGACCTGAATATAGACAAGTAATATACAAAGGCATAAAACAAACTTACACTAGTAGTATGTTATTTAAAAAGCTTTCTAAATGGACCTAATTTTCATCAAAAAATATAAACTTTTCACTTTTAGAAACATGAGCAAATTCAATGAAAAATTAGAAATTTAACTAACCTCTTGTTTTAAGTAATACCTCATGAACTGAACTACATAAAGACAACCTGGTAAATTATATTAGTTATCTGTTTCTGTTGAGGATTGGTTCCAGGATCCAGAACTCCATTCTAAAATCCAGATGAAGTCCCTTAGATAAAACAGTGTTTTATTTGTATATAACCTACACAGAAGCTCTATACTTTAAATCATTTACAATATCTAATACAATGTAAATAGTCTTTTGTGCAATGTTGCTTTAATAGAACTTTGCATGCTCTGTTAGTCTTTAAGAGACTGTTTAATTATGTTGCACCCTTGTCAGCATACACTTTTCCAATCTGTGTTTAGTCAACTACAGATGTAGAAGCCATTAGCTACCAGTTACCAAACCTTTAATAACAATAATGTTCTAATGAAATTATATTACACCATAGGCACTAAATTCTTTTTTTTCTTTCTCCCTGGAGGCTAGGATTTTTAAGCTCTGTCTCACATACTTTTGGGAACAAGGTCAGAAGGGATAGGTCCTTGGAAAAGGACATCATGCTTAGGAGGGCAGAGAGCACAGGAGAGGAAAACCCTCAATGAGATGGATTGAAACAGTAACTGTGGCAATGGGGGAAGGTTTGTGAGAGTCAATTAGATTGGCTCTGAACAGGACAAGCTTCAGAGCTGTTGTAATTAAGGCCACTATGAGTCACAGGCAACTCAATGGCACATAACAACAACTTCTAATGCAGTGTTCCCCTGAAACATCCTGAGAATCTGTTTGTGTAGAAAATTTTACCACAAATGGATCTAAAAACCATTTTATCTAAGAAGCAGGTATTGTGAAAGGGAGAGTTACAACTGCTTAGATTTCTGCAATCCCAGAGGCACACGGTTCAAACCCACCAGATGCTCTGCTGGAGAAGGAGGGACCAGTCAGATCCGATTTGATGATACAAACACACATAAAATAACAACTGCTTAGATTTCTCCATGTGTGTACCATCAAATTGGATCTGACTGGTACAGGAAGAGATTGTGTCTCCTTCTCCAGTAGAGCACCTGGTGGATTCGAACAGCTCATCTCTAGGATTACAGCGCAGCTTCTTGCCACTAAGTCATCAGAGCCCACCACAACTGCTTAGATTTCTAATGTTCATGAAGACTGTGTATTTTAGTGAAACATTTTAAGAGAATCAAGAAATTCTTTAAAAGTTCAGAAGTTAAACCCTCAGAAGTTACTAGCTAGCTGGCCTCAGGTAAACCACCAGAACACTCACTGCTTCCTGAGCTACAAAATGGTCATCCAACTCCATCATTTGTTGTTGTTCCTTGTTATGGTCCTTGAAGCCAGAACCTGCTCACAGCTGACCGTCCAGCAGGTTTTCAGAGGCTGTCTACCGCACAGGAGGAAACTGCCCATCTTTCCCCGTGGAGCACCGGGTGAATTCTAACCACCTGCCCTTTGAGTTGGGTTAAAGCACACTTTCTTACCACTGGGTGACAAGAGCTCCCTCATCAACTGAGAGTTAAGAAATTTAAGATGACTTTGTACTGAATGTTCACTCAGTAATTCTTAGTTAACTTCTATTCTCTCTTTCAAATAATATATCAGAAAGCTCTGGTGGCATATACCATTGGGAGTTATGCTAACCCAAAGATGGTACCTCACTGGCAGCTCAAATCTGCCAATGACTCTAAAGGACAGAGATGAGCAATCTATTCCTGTGTGATTACAGCCTCCAACAACCTGCTGGAGAGTCAGCTGTGAGTCAGTTCTGACTCAAAAGCAATGAGCTACTGAGTTACCAGTTCATTTAACAAACACTACACTAACAAAATAAGTCATTCAGGTCCCAAAAAAAGTCCCAGAAGTTAAAAAGGATAATAAAGTCAAATCAAAGACAAAGCAAAGATGAAAGAATCAAACTGGCTATTATCTGTCAAATAATATACTCAAGATACTCTACATTGCCTCAACTGGTAAGAAGCTGCACTGCAATCCCAAAAGCGCCCAGTTCAAATACACCACCAGCTGCTCCAAGGGAGAAGGATGGGCAATCTCCTCTCATGTGATTTACTGCCTCTGAAAACCTGCTGGAGAGTCAGCTATGACTTGATCCTTACTTGATGGCACACAACAACAAATGCAAAATTCATTAATTTTTCTACTTTCTAGTTGTGTTGCCTTGGTCCAACTAATCTTTCTAAACCTCCTTTACTCATCTTTAAATAGATATAAAAAGTACAATAAAAATTATTGAGACACTAAATGAGAAAAATGTTGAGCAGTATCTAGCACATTACTAAACAGTCAATAACTAACAGTTTCCATTATCATCATTATGGTAATAAACCATCTTCTTACAGGTGAGGTGTTTTACCTTTCAATACCATTATGGTTTACAAAATTAATCACAATCTAGTCCCTCACCTATCTCTTGTAGCCTTATCTCACCTTTACCACCACATCACAGTTACGAAGCCATAAACACATATTTCCACGTTTCTCATATTTGCTTTGGACTGCTAAGCAATTACTTTTGCTCTGTACCTTACAAGTTCAAAGAATTGCTCCGTGTCCTTTCTGGCTCTATTCAGACATTAACCCGACTTCTCTAGGCTTAGTTAGACCTCTTGTTGGTTGTTAATTACGACTTTAGCATGATTCCATACTATTTAAATATTTTTACTTAAATGTCTCTTGAAGTGATTCTCCCGGTTGTGTTAACTAAGAGATCTTCCTCTGCAATCACTGTATCAAAAAAATATTACTAAAAATAAGAGTAACATTTCTACAGGACACACTTGGTGTCAGACCTGTAAGTTAAAACGAAAGAATTACAAGATTTTCTTCTAATTTCTTCAAATAACAGAATGCTAAACCTCCCTCTGCACTGACTCAATGGTATTTCCCAACTAGCTGGTGAGCGTAAATTGACAATCTCCTAGATAGTAGCCAAGCACTTAACCACTGCCTCCATCTATTACAACCGCTGCCACTGACTCTGACTCTTATCAACCCTCCATCAGGGTTCTATAAGGCTTTACAGAACAGACCGGTCATTCTTCTCCTGAGGTACAGTTGGAGGATTTGAACTGCTTAGTACGCTACACAAATACCCTACCAGAGCTCCTCATTTCTCCGTTCTCTTCTCTCTTCTTGGCCGTGGAGCCAACCTCACAGCTGACCCTCCACTGGGTTTCAGAAGCTGTAAACTGCACAGGAGATGACTGTCCATTATTCTCCCACACAGCTGTTCTGGTGGATCTGAACCACTAACCTTTACGTTAGTAGCACAAATAAATAACTACAGATTAAGTCACCAAAGGGCAACTCTCTATTAGGAATTACAAATTTAGTTCTGTACTTTTCAACTTGTAGTAATAATTTCCAACTACATTAAAAAAGTACTTTTATTTGATGCAAACCTCACCTATGGGTCTCCTGGAACTTAGAGTTATCTACTGACCTCATGAATAATGTCCA